AAAAAAAGCTAATCGCAGGTTAAAAGCTAGATGGCCACAGCTAGAGGAACAAGATCGCAAATGGGTGCTTGAACAACGTGCTGCCGGGAGAGGCTTGTCAATGGTGCAGTTACGTTTCCATGCCAAGGTAGTTGCCAAGGCGATGAATATAAATGACTTTGCGGGGAGGACCTTCTTGGTGTTACCGCTTCATGCAATGCAACCGCCTCTCTATCAGAGCACGGACAACTGTTAATATGTTACGTTAACATACCGCCTATTCACGTTATGTTAACAGACGCATATTCAGCCTGTTGTTCTCCATTTTATTGTTATTAAGATAACTTGCCTTTCAAGATGAAATGTATGTTCTTGGTCTCTGATTTTATGAAATATATTTCCCCCAAAAAGTGCGACTTATAGTCCAGTGCGACTTATATATGTTTTTTTCTTCTTCATTATGCATTTTTTGGCTGGTGCGACGTATACTCAGGAGCGACTTATAGTCCGGAAAATACGGTAGTTTTCCCACACTGTCTATTCATTTGCTAATCTGTGATTTTAAAGGACACACACTAATCCCAAACTGACCCCAGAAACACACACACACACACACACACACACACACACACACACACACACACACCTTCTCAGCCCACATAAGTGAGAGTGTGTGTGTTTGAGAGAGTGAGCGACTATGCTATCATCCACCTACAATAAAATTACCAACTATTCTGATAATCATTTAGAGCAGTGTGACAGCATTTCTCACTACTGTTTCACAAACCAGCCAATCAATTAATGGAGGAAATAATCATAAGATTGATGCCTAATGAAAATTATCAGTAGTTGCACTTGGATATAAAATAGTTCAGCAGAGCTCCACCTCAACCGGCTACAACAGTTAGGTCCTGCTGTTACATCAGTGCATGAGTGATATACTGTTAATGTGATATTATATATAGTAATATCTCAGTATACAGTAGGATATACAGTATAGTACAACACTGAGTATCCTACTTCTACATCTAATATTTTCAGTACATTTTGTGATAATACTTAATTTTAGTTAACATTCTTAATGCAGGACTACTACTTGTAACACAGTAGGCTACTTTTACAGTGAAAGCAGTACTTTTAAGTAAAGGATGTGAATACCTCAAATGCTGGTGCCAATATGCTTTGGTTACATGCTTTTTAAAATAATTATCTTTATAACTGTTTATTCTTTAGTAGCACAGTCACATGCAATTAAAAAAAAAGGACTTGGTTTTCATTCCTTTGAGGGTCCTTGTAGCTGATAATAATAGCAATTGTCCAATACCGTGGAACCACAATATTTTCTGAGATGGTTATCATATTGTGAAAATTTCATACTGTTGCAATTATTAGAAATTGAGTACATTTTACTACTTATTGGCTTGAGACAGATGCAGAGGAAAAGCTAGTGTGTGACAGTCAAAGAGAGCCAGAGAGTTTACAAACTTCTTCATCCACCAGGCCATGAGGATACTGAACACTGTCCATTACCTCACCCCCCGTGCCCCTGGACTGTGACGCACCACAGAACATAAAAAGACTACCTCTGCTGCTTTGCACAAACTCGGTACATTCCCCCTTTTTGTTGTATTACATGTAAATCCGCTGCTGGCTGTTCTTTTTACCATATCTGCTGATGTTGGTCATTTGCGCTACTGTCCATGTGCATCTCATCACCAACGCCCCTGGTGATGGTGACCACCTGTCAATCTTCGTTATTTGCACTGACCCCAGAAACACATAGCTTTGAGTTTCTTCATAGCCCATTAGGTTGTACCATTTAGTTTTATCCTAATTTTATTTAGTTTTCTATGTTTACTCTACTTTTATTCTATTTTAGTTTCTTAAATGGTATGGGCATTCAATACTAGGTGAGAGAGAAACATTATTGTGATTTTCTTAAGTCCTGCACATATAGTGAATTGACAATAAAAATCTTTGATCCTTCTTCAAGCATAAATTCCAAATGTAAAAAGATGGTACATCATACTTAATTTTATGATTTCTACTGTCAAACACCTACACCTGATGTTAAACTCATCTATTTCAACAAATAGAGATGGTTTGATATGAATGTATAGTGAAGAGAAGATCAATAATGGTAATGTGGTCTTGATACAGAGTCTCACGTGCATTGGCATCAATATAAACTAGAGAAATGCATTTCCTGTCGAAAATGCGTGCGGATGCTGTGTGCTGAAAGATTGCCCTGAAAATGCTGAACATTTTGACACGTGAAAGGGATATTTACCTGAAAGTATGCTGAAGTACAATTTTCCCATTAATTTGAATGGGGCAAGATTGTCAAAATAAAGCTAAATATTTCAAAAGTATGAAGTTTAGAAATGACTGTCCTTGAAGAGCTGAACATTTTGATACCTGAATGGCTTTGCTAGCTGAAAGTATGCTGAACTTATTAAAGATGAGAAAATAGTCCAATAGGACCC